GAGTAAAAAATGCTTTTTGAACATCTAACCATTGTGTATTTATTTTTTCAGAAGTTTTTCATGTCACATTGAAACTGGTTTTTTCTTTCTGTGCATATTTGCATAATATTTAGACCTGTTCTTCAGATTAGTCTGGGGTAGAAGAAAGGATCTAGCCAGTAGAAAACTGTTAACTTAGCTCTAAGTAGTTCTATGATAGGGATTCTCCCCCCCAAAAAAGAGAAAGAAAGTAATATTACAAAGTCAGTAGGGATTTATTCTGTACTAAGCTAACACCCTCCCTTGATCAGGTGGAAAATTACATGGATAGCAACATGAGAACTAGCTAGCTCTTTTGGCATGGGTACCCTTGACTGGAAGCTGCTGTAACCTGTTTCCTATCTATTAAATGTTTCTCCTGTGCTTGAAGACAACATCTGCAAAAAGAATTAATTGAGTGTAAGTTCTATTAACTATTGAAGAGTTTGGCACAATGGCTAAAAGATTTGGAAAAGCTAAAAGAGTACCAGAATGTCCTCTACAGTGAGTTGGCTCTGAAAGGCCTAATTGTACCAGAAAATTGTAGGGCAGTTAGGCAGAGAGCGAAGGAAGGAAGGGGAAAACATTGTAAGAATTATCTTTGTATATAAAGTAAAGAAAGACTGATAACAAAATCTGAAAATTCTTTGAACTAGCACAAGAAATGGTTATATGTTTTGTCAGAGTAAATAAAAAGTGTTAGATAAGATTAACGTAGTCTTCCAAAGACAACATAAATTGGGAAAACCTGTGCCAGTTTTTTTGACAGAATTGCTGAGTAAGAGAGAAGACACAGGCCTTTTTTTGAAGTCATCTTCATACCACAATTACAATTTCATTGTTGAACAAAGAATTTTAAACCTTCTAATTTTTTTACAAGTTAGTGAACACCTGCAAACTTTGTTCTCTGTTTTGACTCATTCTTATAATTCAAAAATAAGATGCAGTCCAAATAAATTGGAAGGAATTTTTTGTTTTAATAAATGGAAATGCACTTTTGAATGGAATAGTGGTGTGACCAGTGTTTACCTGTTTTAAAGCCAAGCATTTAGCGTCCAAAAAAGAGATAGAGACGCTTATATAGAGATTGAGAATCATTCATGTAGTCTATGAGAGGGCATACTTTTTAGGAGCCTATGCTATTTTTTTATATTGTAGTCAATAGAAAGAGGTCAGCTCTTAATTGATGTTACTTTTCTTTTGAGGGATGAGGCCTCTGAGGTTCCACGGTTGTTTTACACTAACATAATTGTGTTTTGCCACTGAAAGGAGCTCATGTAGCTGCTGGGTGAGCTTGATAGGGAATTGATTTGATCACAAACTAAACTCATAAAAGAAAGATGAAACCTTTCAGCCAGTTTAGTCCTCAAATCTATCTCATTGTTTGGGTGAATGAATAGCACTCCTGGCAAACACAACAATATGGGAATGCACAGGGAGAATTCAAGGAAAAGGGTCTGTGATTTACACACATGTTGGCTTAGATTGATCTGAACCTTCAGTTAGGCAATGTGAACATTCTGCTAAGGAATATATATTCTGAAATTAGATGAGAGTTTGTCTGTTTTTCTGCCTTATATTTTGCATATGCTGTGTGTCTAAGAATGAAGCCACCTCTCACTGACAATGCATAGTAATTAACTTTCTTTGTGGGCTCATTATTTCTAATTGCAGTAAGTAAGATTAATCTCTTTTTTGGTTGAAACATCTGAATAGGTCATTGTTGTAGCAGGGAAATTGTATTAGAAAGAGCAGTAATCAAATTTAACATAGGAATTTCAATCATAATAGAAAACCAATATAAAATTACTCTAAGGAACTTACAGAACTAAATGGCTTTTTTCCTTTGCTCTGAAGCATCATTGGCAAACACTGACTTGGTTATGAGTTGTGCTCACACACTTATGTGCTCTTCAAGTTATCTGAGAAGTGTTTCACCCTTCAATCACGAGAGAGTTGTCTTCCCTGGTTCAAATACTGAAATCCTATTATTGACTAACAGTTCAAACTAGCATTTTCTTTAATGCTAGATTTCCTAGTGATGTATTGAAAAATACTATGTTAATTACTTAGAGTACCTTGACTTATTTGGGAAATGTCAGATTAACTGGCATAGGGTTAGTTACAGTGTTACTCTTCCTAAACAAGGATGATATGTAAGCACTCCTTCAGGGTAATGTAATTTTCTTAGCTAAAGACTTATTTAAACAGCTAGACTGGAGGGGCAGAAAATAGAGTTATGTTGTTGATTTTATTAATATCTGCTTCCCCAGTAAAGTAAGTAGGTTGCTATTCTCTCATAATTCAGGATCACCATCCCATTTAATAAATAAATAAATAAGTAAATAAATAAATAGAATTTAAAATAGCTACTGAAGACTCTGACAAATTTAAAGAACTATTCTTTTCTATTGTACCTAGCTGTTTACAATATTAAATAATAAAATTCTTGCTTTGTGCTTCTAGTTAGATTGAGATGCATATATTTATATATATTTTCCCCTTCAGTTCTTTTATTTATTTATTTTAATTATGATATTGATTCTTAAATTTTTTGTACTCAGAAATTCTACTGAATCATTGCCTTCTGTCCTCTTATAAAAAATGGGCAATGTATCTCCAGACCTTCATGACACACTTGTCTGTTTGAATGCTTTAGAGTCTTTTCATGATTTCTAATCTGAAACTACAAATTTGTTTAAAAAAACAAAACAAAAAAGAAGTGACTAAGTTTGACACAGGCAATATAGCAAGTTTGTTCTATATTAAAAAAAGTTTAAACTTTAAAAGTCGACCAACCAAGATTTGCTTCTTTAAATGTTTTTATGCTAATGACAGAAGAACTTAGTGTTCATCATTTCTCTTGTTGTTGTTACCTCCCCTTGTGGTTTCTTCCTGCATAATCTCTTGCTCAGCACAGTGAAAGGAATAACATTTCACTGCCATTTTGAGCTTGCTGCAAGCTTTTTGATCTCCATCACTGAGTAACATTTTCAGATAAAAGATGTAAATAATTTTATCTTGCAGTGAATGAACAAGGTACCGCTCTACTGTCAGTTTTCAAAATTATTTTTTTCCTTTGTTACAGATTTATAACTGTATCTCCCTCTTGCAAAGTAAATCTGATCTTAGTGATGTAAAATGACATTTCTTGAACCTGTTATAGATGTGTTTTATTTTTTTAAGACACTGTGAATTCTGGTTATTGTCAGAGATGCATGGCAGCTGGAATTAATGATCATGTTTTGATGCTATGAACTGTTACTAATCTGTATACAATTGACCCTAAATTGGCCTCTGAGCATATTATTGCTTAATAGTGTGCATATCTGTGTGTGTATATACACATATACACATTCAAATAGGGAACAGTTGATAGTATGTTGATATCTTTGCTTTTCTTTTCAGGTTTGTCAGGATTTCTGACACTAAATGTTTCAAAATACCATAGTAAAAAGCTACTTCAGGTCTTTCTTTTGCATACATTTTCTGTGAATGCATTATGGCATTTGTGTACATTCATATAAAGTAGAACCATTTTTTTCCCTCCATCCCTTCTCAATCATTTTAATATTATGCAATTAACTGATGGCTGGTTGCTATATGGGGACAGAAATTAATAATTTGTTGCTTTTTTCATGTATTTTTGTATTGCCTGTATAAAAAATGCAGAAGGGTGTAGAAGCGATATAGAATTTATGTGAACAGAATGTTTGCTATATTTTAAGACTTATTTATAATATTGCAGCCTTATACATTTTCTATTAAAATAGTGAAGATCATCAGAAGGTACTAATTTTTTCATTGTTCAATTTTGATTTAATGTATTTCATCCTAACCTTTGCTAATTTCCTCACTGCTTTGTAGAAAGGAGAAAAATCACACTAGAGTTCCTTCCAGAACTAATGGATGTCAACACAACCTTTCCAGTTACACTTGTTAATAGTTTTGAAAAGCCAAAGACTAAATGGGCAAGAAATTTTTTTTTTCCAGCACAGATTTAATGAACACTGGCAGATAAAAGGGAGGAAACTTTTCCATATACCTGTATATATTCTCTTGTTGACCATTTATCTTCTGTTATCTGAGGCTGTCAATACATTCAAAACCACTAACCTCACACTTCACATTCCTGAAAAATTCAAGTGTCATTCATTATATCATTGATAGCTGTATCAATTCCTTCCTACAGTAACTAGCTTGGATCTCTGTAAATGCTGCAAATCAACACAGCTTTCAAATGTACAAATGGATTCAAAAGATTGTAAAAATTCATGTATATCTATTGGTTTCTGTTTAATACAATGATCTTGAAGCTGCATCTGGCTCAAAAATAAAAGTTGGATTTCTTTTTTTTCTTTTTTTCTTTTTTTTTTTTTCATCTACCCTTCAAACTGTTAAAGCAGTGCTTTCATTTCAGACCCAGAGAAATGTCCTTGAGTTGGCAATCTAAATTTATTTCAGCCTTCAGTGGCAACTTACAAAACAAACATAGAATGAGAAGGGGAAAAGGGGAGGGGGGGAGGAAGAAGGACCAAAGAATTAGAATAAAAATCACAGACATAGGGCAAAATGGGAGATGGATGTTAGAACACTGAAGACATTATTGTTTTCTATTACTATAATATTCTGACTCTTCATTCCTGTTTGAAACTACTTTAAATTCTTAATTTAAAAGTCATCCTTAAGTACTTAGTAAGTCAAGACATGATATTTCTGAAGTATATTTTCTCATAAACAACTCCCAAATTAAATTCAAGAGAATTTCCATGAGTTAATTATCTTCTATAAAATAAATTTATTTTTAAGGGCTTGAAAAACAGTGCTAGAGATTGACAGGAAAACATGTAAACATGCAGAAATTATTGTAAGGAAAGATACCTTGATATTGGATCTTACCTCTGTTAAAAAATATTTACCTAAGTCATAGACCAATTATGAAAATTAATGTCTGCAAGTACAAAGTGCTATCAAAAGCCACATTCTATTTTTCATCCATTGGCAGAATTTTATTTACATGCTACTCCTGGGTCACAAGTCGACAATGAGTAGTAAGGGTGTATTTAAGCTTAATTTCACACTTTGTTCATGACAAAACAAACAGTTCAAAACCCAGTGCTGACAGAATTCTCTCAATTAAGAAGCAAAACTGAAGATCTTCTGTTTTAGGAGTATAGATTTATAGTGTAAAGTCATTAGTTCAGTTTCATATTGAGTATATTCTAATACAACTGCTGAATCATGTGTTCTTGTTGAATTTGCCTTAACACATTGATTTAAGGACTTAAGGAAAACTATGTTAATACATTAAGAATACAGAAAACAAAAGTGAGGTTAGGAGCATGGTATGTTGGGACATCTCTCGCTGTTTACATTTCTACAGAGACATCCTGTAGAAAATATTAAATATATATATATATAATAATAGTAATAAAATAAAATTATTAGTAAAATAAAATTTAAACCCAGTGTTCTGGCATGTGCCTTGCTGGAAACTTGCAATGGTCTTACTGTTTCATTGAAACAGACCATCTGTGGAAAAACTGCAACCACTGCTGTCCAGAGGAAAAAATCCTGTAAGGAAAGAGAGAGCAGAATTAATGGCCAGCTGTAGCAGCAGAGGCTAGCAGTGTCAGTTGATAAAATGCATCTGTATTCAGGGAAACAAACAGTTGACATAAGAAAAATGCTCTGATATTGCTCCTACTTCTGATGCCACTTTTGGCTAGTGTAATGGAGTGATCTGTATCTGTTCTACCTTAAGTTTGCTGGAGGTGTTGTCTAAGGATCGCGGAGTGATAAATACTACTTAGATGTGAATTTTGTGTCTGTGTATGTGTTATATGATACTTTTGCTGTCCTACATCTTTATTAACTTATCTGCATGGCATATAAGCTTTGTCTAAAACAGTAGTGTATTTTAATCAGAGCATCATCTAATTCAATTCAGGAAAGTCAGCTTTAGATATATGGCAAATATAATTGTGGATTCTCTTCTATTTTTGACATGCTCAACAAGGGTTGATTCTTCACCCATAAAATACCTTTACAAGGCTGGGGTCCAAGGCTGTAATTTGGAAAGGAAGATGCAGGGGGGAAATAATCTTTCTGTTTTTGTGGCATACTCCAACCATAATCTTTATTTGGCTAAAAATAGTTTGCTTTCTCATTCAGTTAAACCAGAGGAACCATTCATGTATTTAGTTACAGACCTGCATCTTGCTGGATACAAGTTTGAGTTAGAAACTTAACAACTGAATTCACCCATACCGTTGAAATACCTGGGGTTTGACTTTGGTCTTTTTTGTGAGCCTGAGCAGTATATGGAAGAACTCTTTCATAGTATGTGTAACTGAATTAATTTTCCCCTCATTGCAGAAGTAATTATACAAATTGTAACTTTCTTCATACAAGAAAATATTTTAAAATATATTGACGTACACTACTAACCTTTTTTGTCTTGGTGATAAAATTACTTGGTCTTAACTGATAACACAATCAATTTGCAGGACAATGAATTAAAGATAACTTCTACCAAGTAGCTTTGTACAAATACTATAACACCTTGAAGCTTTGGAGTTTTCTATATCCAGTTCAGTGCCTCTCATTTTTGGCTGCTTTTGCTTTCATAACAATGACAGTTGTTAATATAAAGTAAATTATGTATTTGACAACTACAGTGTGATGTCAAGCCAAGTCAGCATGTCCGTTTAACAGATAATGCCACCCTTTTCTTGTCTTTTGTAGTTTTACAGGAAGAGCAGTGGTCCTTGGAAAACAAAAAATCTTTTCCCGAGGACATACAATAAATTCAGAATTGCAGTCCAGCCAGGCAGACTGGTTATGAGCAGTAATCTCAAATCCAGATCCAAAAGCCATATGTTTAAACTAAGTGAATCCCTTGAGGAAATGCAGGTCTACTCTAACCTTGCTGATTATGCTAAAATGATAATGAATATCTCTATCTAATCCATTGACCCCAGTATGGGAAAGATGATGTTAGTTAACTTTGACATGGCAGTGCAGGGAGAAACTTAGTAAAAAATGAAAGCAGTTTTTATGCATCATTTTATAATGAAATATCAAGATAATTTATCATAATAATTAGCTTTCTGAAAAGCCTGTTGCTTGAGTTCTTTTTTAGTATCATAGCTTCTCCCCAGGTCTTCATTCATATTAAATACATAATTACTTTTCTAGTCTATCTTTTATGTTTGCTAGTAACACTAGGCATAGCATACTGAAGATGAAGGATAAAGAATGGGAGAGAGTAAAGTACGTTTTCCTTTTCAAACTAACTGATAGTAGTTCAGAAATGTGTAGAAAGGTCTCCCCTTCCCCCAGATAAAAGTCTTTAAAATGCAGAATCAAAACACAGTTTTAGCTTCAGTTAAGGATTCTATAATTAGATACCGGTACCTTGATACCTGAGCATCTACCTGCCTTACAAATAACTGCACACGTTCAAGGATTGATTGGCTTAGACACTGAATTTTTTAAACAGTACTGATAAGTAATTGCACATATGTGAAAATCTAACTTGATTGCTATAGTCCTGAAGTCAGACATCTTTTAGGTCTAGATTGAGAATATTATGTTTTTCATTCAAGCCATAGGGAACAGATGCTGGGACTCGTGACCAGATCTGCCTGACCTATTTAGAGCAGGGAATTGGTTCACAAAATGGAGCTTTTTTTTCTGCTCATAGTCTGTTCATGAAGAACATTGCTACTGCAAAAATGCTTGTTATTTTGGATTTGAGATTATTTTTTTTTTTATATTGGGCAAAATCACCTTATAAACAGATTAAAAAACTATTCATTTGAACTAGTTGACATACTAGTTTAAATGTTAATGTTACAAAAATCACCTTAAAATGGATATAAGGATAATATATTGCATTTGTTTCCTGTTTCAATGACCTATAGAATCAACTTTTCAGTACAAATATTTCAAATAAAAATTTATTTCTGGTTGAATATTCTGTGATGTCCACTAATATTCTGGTATTTACTGAAGACTGCAGTGCAAGTGTCTTCAGACTGAGACTTGAAAAAAATAAACATCATGTTTCTGGTTGTAGTATTGTTCTATTAGTCACTGAGATGCCTTTGAATGTGGTCAGTGTTAGTATTGCAAATGTGATTTTTTTTTTTTGCAAGATTTTCATATTAAGTGTAATGCTTATTCATAAACAAACCTCCCTGGTTTTGTTACCAGTGGCAAAAATGCTCTGATATTTACTCATGCATGCCATTAGTGCTTTCAGTGGGAGGAAGATAGATTGAATGCTGGAATGTTTCTGACTTTTTAAAATTTTTTAAGAGAATAAGAGAGGTTTGAATACAGCAGAAGTTACAAGTGTATTCTCTGAACCCACTTTGAAAAATAGACTTTCTTATAGTCTGACTGTTACTCTGTGCTCTCCACATTATTTTGGGGCATTTTTTTGTAAAATTATTTCAAAATCAGAATTAAAACATCTTTTGCAAATACTATGCATCTGTAAAGAAGTTATTGCTCTAACACAATAAAAATAGACAACAGGGAGTTTTGCTTGCTGTTCAGAATCCTAAGATATTTTTCAAGCACTGTGTATCAGCTATAACAACCCCAAACTAGATTTTTAACTGCAAGTTATTAGTTATATGTTTAGTTATATGTTATCACAGCGGTACAGCCATCTTTGCTAACTGTCTCAACTCTGGCCAGAAGTGGGCCTGACTTGGAGCCAGGGTCGCTTCAAGAAACTTCTCACAGAGGCCACCACTGTAGCCCCCTCTCCTGCTATCAAAAGCCTTCCACACACACAAACCCAGCACAACATGTTTTGTTTTGTTTTTTACAGTAAACCTTAATACACTAACATGTTAGTTTGCTTTTTCTCTAACTCAGTGTATCAACTACACTTATTTTTCCCAGTGTAATTAGAAAGTTAATTATGGATGAGATAACTTAGATAGCTACAAACTTCTCAAATTGTGTACTATACTGTAATTAATACCAAAAAATTCCAATTCTACCATCAAAACTATGAGTAATTCTAACTGGTGTAAAAAATATCTCAGAGGAACACCTATCCTGGAGAGCATTTCTTTTTGGAAGTATTGGCAAAAGATACAGAATTATAGCTTAGAAAATAATACATGTATCACTTTGTATCTGTAAAAACTTGCAAGGAAAAATCAAAAGGGATGGAAATCAAGGCAAAAAAATACTTGGGGCTAAAAAGATGATGTTTCATTTGACTAACATCCACCACCCACACCAGAAAAAAATAGCATGCAAAGGAAGTATCCAGCGGCATTTTTATATAGCCTTTGCCAAGGAAAACTTACATCTGAAAGTAGCCTGCAGACTTCTAAGTGTCTGTAGCCATCAGGTTACAGACTATTATTATATTTATAGATAGCCTATGAAATTTTTTTTTGGAAAGACGGATTCTAAAATACAAAATGTGTAAGAATATATACTTCTACTAGAAAACTTGTATAGGTAATTTGAAGGTAGGGTTGAAGCCACTCTTTTAAAAATTTTAAGTTTCTCTTGCATTTATGTTAATGAAGAATAAAATAACATCTCTTGTACTAACCAATACCCACTATTCCAGTTCATAGGATTCAGTATGTTTTTCTAATGAGTTCCTTTTGTAGGAATGAGACTAGAGACTGCTGCGTTCTTCTGTTCTGTCATCCTGACATTAATTGCTCTGTCATTAAGACTGTACACGTCTTATGTTGCTCAACCTTACATATAAAGTAATAGTCATCTACTTCATTTTTCTGTAGTTGTCTAATGCCTGCTAAATGATTTTGCCCCACACCAACCCCTACTCATCTAAACTGGGATATATAAAACAAGTTTTCCCTATTTATCTCATTTGTCCTTGTCTGCATAGATACTCACTTTTATCTGGAGAAGGTAGCTTTTTCAAGAAATAGAAAGAAAATAATTTTTCAGGTAGGTTCGATAAGACTCCACATCTGTTTCTGCTTTCCATACAAATAAAGAGATAGATCTGTGTTTCACTTATCTAACAAAACTCTTTTCATCTAACCATGAGAAAATTCTAGAGTATTTTTAAGCTACTCTTTTTCCATTACAATACTTGCTTTGTTAAAATTTATTAAGTAGCTGTTCTTCTGCCTCTTCCCCAGCATGGGATGATGTCTAAATTGATGCCCTCAGAATAAAACTGTCCGGTAGCTTTTTCTGTTTGCACTTGTTTCAGGTGTCCATGAGAAATTCTGTTGTATCTTTGATTTTTTTCCCTCTCCAGACTTTTTCAGTTTCCTACAACATAAGATTTTCTTTTAGCTGTTACTGAGTGATAGCAATAGTGTTTATTCTTAATCTCTTAATTTATTAAGACTGCTGGATACCTGAAAATGAATCTAAACCTCACATTTTGTTCAACTGTGAATGTTAACCTTGATTATCCTGCTTAGAACAGCTTTTATTTATTTAATGTCACTTTCTTCCAGATTGATTTTTAAATATCTATCAATGTTTCAAAGACCTTTTATTTACAAGGTGCTTCTGGCTCTGCTGGCCATTACCCCATTTAGTGTCCT